TAAATATATGATTGGCTAAATGAATTTAATACTAAATTTAAAACCTACCTTTTCATAATCTATTATTTTATCACAAAACTGTAACCTTTTTGATATAAAACTAATATCTTAGAAAAATCAATGCATTTAATTTAGTCTGTTAAAAGTGGGCATAAGAATTACTGACAATTTTTTATGTTCTTTTAAAGAGGAAGGATACAACTCACTTTTTATCATATGATCATCTACCTAGGAAAAAATCCTATGAAGTCAACCAACAATTAGTGCTAAGTAATACTCTTCATTAGTTCTGGAAAGAAAAGTAATGTACAAAAGCAATAAAATGTCCACACTAGTCATTCCAGCCAAGAACTGAGTCTGCACTGAAACACACAATCCAGGATTAGAGGAAGGATAAGGAAAACTACTGAAGAAAAGCTATATATTGTTGCGGAGGTTGCGGAGGTGGGGGGGGGGCGGAATCCATGATTAAAAGTAAAACTGTAATTGAAAATAACATTATCAAATTGAAAATAAAAGAATCTATAAGCTTTTTTTTTTCTCACCAAGGCCCACAATAATAACATCATCTTAGCTGAAAAGTCACATGATTTTTTATGTGCAAAGATATTAGAGAACAGATCTCTAAAGTGCCGCAAAGTAGGCAAGTGGAATATGTATGTGATGGCACATTAATAATTCCCTTGGCTCCTATCATGCCATTTCTTAACAATTATGTGTAACCACCCAGTTTAATTTTTTTAAGAATAAAATGAACTTCTCCAAAGCATATACATTTTCCTTTTATATCAATGAAGAAGTGTGAGACAGACAGACTTTTGACATTTATTATGTATACATGGTCCAAATTTTAAAATGAATGCTATTTCAGTAGTTTTTTCAGCATTTAATTTAGAACACCACTTTGACCAAAATAACCTGGGAAATTACTAGTGGGTGGGTCTATACACGCAGTGGACCCATGCCTAAGCCAGGATTCTGCCTATTGCCTGACTCCGTGCACCCTCACTTTTAGATGAGAGCACTTCGATCTGCAGGGGTTGTCATGCTCTCTCCATCATGTTTCACTAGGCAAGTTTCCATCAAGAAGGATGCCTTTTCTCCAAGGGATCTATAGCCATTTACTTAGGCAACTATTCAACATTTCTATTCAACATTGCTTTTAATGTACATAGAGTCGGGCTCACTAGTGTCAGATCAATCTTTCCTAGTTGCTATTCTGGTCCTTGCTGCTCATTGCAATAATGAACTCACTGCTGATTGGTGATACTATCATCTCACTGCTGCTCTGACTCCCTGTTCAGTTAAAGCATCTCTCACCATCAGACCCAGCCTGTAGAGAGCAGCCCTAGTGGGCTTCTCAACAATGCTAATGCCCTTTGGTGATAAGGAGAGCAGATTGCATAGTAAATGGCGTGTGCTTCAGGCTCTTCCAAGAAACTGTCAATTATTGTTTTATTAATTGCTTGGAAACGGGTACAGGTTATGAATATTCAATCAAATATTTTCCACACACATAATTTCTCTTTATTTAATGATTTTTGGACTATTTTTCAATGCCCTTTTCTGTAATCCCTTTTAAAGATATTGTAGATTGTTTTTGTTGGGGAGTGGGGCTGTCAGGAATGAAAGGATCCCCTGCGGATAAGACAAGACCCAGGATTACTCTGACTTTATGTGGACATCTAAGGCAAGGTTGAAAGTTGATATTTAATTTGTTGAAGTGCAGATACAGGGTTTACACTTGAGAGAATCCCAGGAAAGAGTGCCCAAAACTGCTAATGTGTCTTTAGAATTGAGTTCTGAGCCTGGTTTTTCCATAAGCAAGAATACTGTTAACTGAAGAAAGAGAAAATATGGCCAATGTACCTGGAAGCCATGCCATAGATGAAACTGCCACCACCTCCCACCCTGTACACCCTCCTGCCAAGAACTCCAATTGACGGTCACCCCTATGGAAATCATTCAGATCCAGGAATTTAGTCTTGCAACCCCTGACACTTAGCCAGGTGCCTCTGCCACCACTCAAAATTCTTCTTTAAAAAAATTTATGACAGAAAGAATTAAGGACACTTTTGTAATACCTTAATATTCTCCTTCTTCTTGTGGATCAGTTCTGAGGTGAGGTCTCACATTAGTGACCTCTTGGCTTAGGTAATGTTGGAACTGATACGTGAATGATGGACAAGTGTTGATAGCTTTGTGAAGTTGGTAACCTAAACCAGAGGCTTTCACTCGGTGGAGGGAGAGGTAGATGATAGGTTGTGGTCAAGTAGACGTGAATGTGAATGAAGGCAATGTCCAGATTATTAACACCTAGATAAATGTGACACTACTGAAGAGAATGAGCATGGTATCCTTGTGATGGCTTTGCTTGCTCATAGTAATGAGCGAATTATAAGAAGATTAATTAACCAGACATTCTTGATGAAAGTATAAGGCTGTCGTGGGTCATTTGTGAAAAGTGCATGGCACATTGAACTTGCCATTCCTGTTTCAGGCCATCGTTTCTTTTGAACACAATCCTAAATGCACATCCTATTAAATTTTGACTGTTATTATATCAGCTGGATGGATGTACAGATTAGATGTGTTAAATGTATAGTTAAAGGCACAAGCATCTGTGGAGATTGAGCCATTTTCCTTTAGGGGTTTCAAATATCTCTAAGTGGGTCTCGGCAGTAGCAGCCAATGCAACGCTAATTTATTGTGAAACTTCTTTTTTGTCAGTCAACCACTCTGATTTCTAGCCAACTACACAGCTGAGATGACATCTTATTACGTTTTTGAAATGACTCCACCCAAAAGCACCACAGTTGACTGTATGGGCCCTAAACTGCACAACTGGCCAGTGTGCATGGATTCTGCTTCCAGCAAACAATTATTACTTGCTTTAGCCAAACATTTCACCTTAACATATGAAGAATGGCTGAGTGGATTAAAAACTCTTTTACTTTACATTGTCTTGAATGATTGAGGATGTCAATTCAGTTACTAGACTAAACTCTAATTTCAGCTAGATATAATTAAACTGTCAGTCAAATGACATTGTGGCTCAAGACTTATTAATGAAATGAGCACATGCTTTATATTTTCATGATTAGCTCCACCTTAGTTCCCTACAGCATGTCCATAAATCCCCCAACAGCTAAACTAGAGCTTCCCTCCAGATAGTCAGATGCCATGTATTTTTGTAAATATGAATAATTTATGTTGATTGCCAGATTTCTTATTTATCCATAATCATAAAACAACAGAATTTGTTATTGATTTCAGAGACATAGGGAGTGCAGTGCAGTGTGTCCACACACACCCACACACATTTGTTTAGTTCCAAGATAACAAAATATCAAACAGAGAGGAAGGGAGAGGGAGACAGAAACATCTGATGAGAGAGAATCATTGATTGGCTGCCTCCTGTTTGCCTCACACTGGGGATGGAGCCCACAACCTGGGCATGTGCCTTGACTGGGAATCAAACAGTGACTTGGTTCACAGGTTGATGCTCAACTACTGAGCCATGCCGGCTGGGCTGATTGAATAACCTATGTATCAAGATATAAACAAATACATTATTCATACTTATTATTGAATGACATTAAGTAGCACCTTTCTTTCTACTGATCTTTTCCTTCTGACTGATCCTCAGGTCAAACTGGGCAAAGCACCTGAATGGTCTCACATGTAAGGGAGGTTAAAGGGACCGACAATGTGAGAATTAAATAAGCTGAGTGCTTTAATGTTTAGTCTAAGTTAATAAATATGTTAAATACTCTCTTCACATGTTAGCTAATATTTGTTTAGTCCTTGATTCAGTCTGTTGAGAGGTCAGCCAAACCAGGAAATAATTTATCAGGGAGCAAGGTATTTAGGATTGTAAAGTGAATGAATAATTCTAAAATCTTGTTTAAACTTGGCTGGTAAACTATAGCAAAAAAAGTTTATTGATTTCTTATGAATTTCACCAGTAAACCAATTTTCTGCTTTGTCATGACCTCTCTTTGTGCTGATTTGCAATTCCTTGATTATTAAAATAGTGATTAGGACTGCATCCTCAGGTTTGTGTCTTCCACTCAAAGGTTGCTAAGGTAATGCCTGTGCACAATGCACATTCTAATCCCTGCAAAATCTAAGTACTTGCTTTTGGAGAAACTGTCAGTATGAATGAAATTTTTTAAAACAAGTACTTAGAAGTTCTCATGGCATTAACCCTTTTCAAGGGCTAAAAAAATTAGATACTAATCACAGGGCAATTTGACTATGCCACAGTCAACTTTCCTATTTTAAGGCTTCCGTTACTCCACTGAAAACGCTGTGAATATCCAGCTCACACAGCAAAGTAAGAGGTTGCAGATTGTTTGGGTAGTTCATTACATGGCAATAGATATGCGTCACACGGGGACCCAGGCTGTCAGTGGTCCCACAATCTTCAAAATGTGGGTGAAAGGGAAGTATTTCACTTGAAAGACAAAGTTTAGAGATTTAAATTGTTCTTCTGTATGTGTTGACTGGACTCAGCTGTGCAGTTCTTGGTTCCAGTGTCCCTACCCCACTACCTTCCCCCAGCAGTGACAGTGATATTGTGACAGATGCCATGAAGGAATCGCAGGCCAGTAGTCTTCTTGCCTGGTCCTTCAACCCAGAGAGTAAAGTGGCCATTGTATCTAGTCTCCAGGATGAAAATGAAACCAGGCCAAAGATAGCTATATGTTACATCCTTAGGCTAACCTACCTGCAATGGAAATGTAGGGCAATATCTGATAGAGGGTACTGCTTAAAGAATACATCATGTCTTGTTTTGTTTGTTTTAAATTGTGGTCTTGAACATGCTGAGCCTGATTTTCTGTTGAAAATTCTGAGATGATGTTCTTCCCCATCCCATTGGGGAGAATTTCATGCAACTATCAGGGGTAGATTTATCTTACACTTTAGTTTAGTTTTGGTGCAATGGACCCAAATATTGAATATGAAAATAATGTAATTTATATTTTCTTGTATAGTAGGAAGAAGGTCATGTCAGAACTCCAGGACCCACAGCCACTAACAAGAAATCTCCTGAACTATTAGTTCAGACTCCACACATCCCTCATACCATCCAAGGTAAGACCACAGAACTTAAAATAACTGAACCTGTGTTCATAAAAGGCAATCCTTTTCAAAGTTTTAATTTGTGAAACTTGTAATGGTTTACTTGGTTGAAACCATTGATCATTTTCAATATACTTGTCTTTTTACTGGGCTCTCTCTTGCATTAACTTTCTATTCTACATTGATTGCATGGTACCTGTTATAGGTAAGTTTCTTTAACAAACCTACATGATATTTCTGTTAATTATTTGGTAATCTAAGTTTAGCGAATCACTTTTTAATGTTATGCTGATTAATGGATTCTTAGTTTTCAAGGACTCAAATTTTGATGCATTTTATTTTTTCTGGCTTGGGTGGGTGGATAGAGCTATTTTACCTCACATCTTTCAGCTTAGCAAACATGTACTTGGTAAGTAAATCAAATATTTTTTAATAAAAAGCTGGGCATGCTTTCATGAAAAGGATAAGAATTATTGTGTGAATTGTTGTTCTTAATATCCCAAACCAATTCTACATTCTAAGTGGAATGCTGCTGGCCGCCCTTACTCAGCTCTCTGCCACCTTTGGGCACGTGCTGCTACATGCTGCCATCGCTGTTCTTTGCCAACAATAACAGCTGCTGCTGTTTGTGGCCTGCTTTTCCAGATGTTTTGTAGAGTTAGGATGGTAACCAGAGTAAGAAAAGAGCTGTGATTTCAGGGGGTTGATAAATGAACAACGGAAAGCCAGACTTGGAGTGTTTCGCTAATGCTCTCACCACTTTTCAGTGGCCCCCAGGCGTGATTTCTAGTTTCTTACCTTCTGTGGAATTCTACTCCGTGACTTGGCCTCTACTACAAAGTATCTACGTGATATACAGGTGTAAAAATGAAATTTTCTTTATTAGTACCAATTAGTTTTGCCTGTTATTGAGTGGAATATTCTTTCATCTACTGCTCCATAAATTTTAGAGTTAAATTTGCTCTGAAGTAATGTCTTCTTTTTACCGGCTTTCCCAATGATAGATTAAGGGGTACAATTGTTACAGTAAGAAGTCTATTTTGTTGGAGGAAAAGACTTTTTTTTGTCAAACTTCTGTAAGGCAGGAACCTTTGAGTGTAATTATGAAAAAACATTAGACATTCTTCAAACAGAGGAACAGATTCAGGTGACGCATTTTTGCCAAGAATGCCTCCGGAGTGATGCTGTGCTCCCTTTGCATTTTATTAGATGGTTAACTGCTTTTTAATGTCAATCATCTGGAAAACATGTTATCAAAATACATCATTAATTGTTTTCTGGGACAATGAGAGCTGGGGGAATTAGCCTGCCCCTGGATGTGGGTTTAGCATACTATTACCTGGAAGGGTAATTTCACACTTAATGGAAGCTGAATAACTGGTATTAATGGGGGCATATACAGACTGAGGCCCAGGTGAGAAGATACCTCTTAGTCACCATCCACAGGAGAGCTCAGAACTATAGAGCCAGGGGAATTCCACAATAAATAACTGCACTACAGGTTTGTTTCAGAGCTGTAACCTCCCTGATTGAGAGCCAAGAGGGTAGTCATGTATATAGGGCCCTGAGCATTGCGTGATAATTTGGGGAGTTGCTGAGGCCCACTTACATTATGGAGATAAATGTCTAGGTAGTTCTGCAGATTGAGAAGCATTATTTTGAAAAAAGTCTTAATTTTCCTTTCTAGGATGGTGGGGAAAGAGTAGCTTTCCAAAAATTTTAAGATAAAGGAATTTAAGTAACTTTCTATTTACTCTAGACAGATGGTTTGAAGGCTGAAAATGGGGATGGGCTACTTTTACAAACACGTTATCCTTCTGCCTTCAATTTTGGGCCAGGGCTAGAAGTGACCTAAGAACTTTAGACAACATAAGTTAGTCACATGGATATAGTTATATCTCCTGATTAGAAACTGAATTATTAGGAATTTTTCACATGTGTAACATATATTCGATATAACTTAGAAAAATGGTGAGAAACTGCTGGAGATACTGAAATTAAGAACCGACAACAACCAGTATATTAACTGAGGTGTATTTGCAGCTGAGTGGAATGCTTTGTGCCGTAAATCATACCATACAAGGGCAGCTCTATGGAGGGTGACTGCATCCTTCAACCATTGCATTGATTGTTTTGATGTGTCCAATGCCACAGGTTTATCCATCCAAAGCATTTGTAATTCATTTTTTAAGAAAGAGTGGTTCCAAGCATATCATTCAGCCTCATAGAAAATGGATAAAGAAGCAGAGAGGTACTAGGAGAACTAAACTAGAAGAGCTTGTGTAGGCATTATTTTCAAGTAACAAATATTTATAAGTAAAAATGATACTTATATATTTTAGGAATATCTACCCTGTTAAAGATTTATTACTGGGGGTTTACAATTCAAAGGCAGATATTCTTTTTTTTTTTTTTTAAATATATTTTATTGATTTTTTACAGAGAGGAAGGGAGAGAGTTAGAAACATCGATGGGAGAGAAACATCGATCAGCTGCCTCCTGCACATCTCCCACTGGGAATGTGCCCGCAACCCAGGTACATGCCCTTGACCGGAATCGAACCCGGGACCTCTCAGTCCGCAGGCCAACGCTCTATCCACTGAGCCAAACCGGTTTCGGCGAAAGGCAGATATTCTTATGCAAAAATCAAATAAATGATCTGATATGCCATGCCATGGAAGCAAAACACTATCTTATTTCCATTAATCAATGAGGAAACATTTCTGTACCTTTCAGTAAAACACGGTTCATTTTTTAGCTCTGCTGAAATAAAGTCTAAATGATATTTAGTATATGATGATTTCTACAATACATTTTCGTTTTGAACACTTTTCATAATTTTGCAATCACAGAGTAGTTCTAAATAGAATTGTGAAATCCACTCAGAGTCAAAGGAGGCTGAACTACCTGACCATAATAGATAGAAAGGTGAAACCAGCAGTGAATTCATTGTTCTGCATTTATACTTTGGCACAACCCTATTTCTAACCCAAGAAAAGCATCATGTCGGTGAATCATAATGGAGGGTAGAATATGAGTGGGATCCAATTTTACAGCAGGGGACTGAATTAGCCAAACAGAGATTAACACTACCAGTTTCACTGACAACAGCATCTTTTGTCTGGGTGACTGCTTGTCCTGAGGGGTGAAAGCCAAAAGCTGAATTCTCAGCATTTTCTGCCTGAAGTTGTGATCCCAGATCGATACCCATCTGATTGCTTTCACCATCGCAGAGCAAACATCTGGTACAGCTGTTTGCTCAGCAATTGTTCAGTTAAGATGAAGTGAAAGCAGTACGTTCCAACACAGAGCACGCATACAGATACTGCAGAAAAGGGCAGAGTGATAAAGATGATAAAAATTCAGGAAAATAACATATTTCCATATACCCTTAAATGAAAAAGAACTTGAATCCTGAGCCAGTTATTTCATCGTTATGCTTAATTTTTTAGGGTATATAACACTCATTTTTATTCATTTAAAGTATGAATGGCATTCCAGTTAAACACTGTGCAGAGGTAAGTTTAGGATATTTCTACTCATCCTCTGGGGGTGGTGGAAAAGAGGCATCAATTCGATGAGTCTGAGTTAGCTACAGGTGGAACAATAAGCCTCTCCTACCTGCTTCATTGGAAAATGTGTAGGAAGCATAATCTTGTCATAAACCCCACCCCTGGAATGGGGTGACCTACAATAGGGAGGGAACTCAAAAGTCCAGGTGCCTGATGAGGACTGAAAGAGTTTAAACCCCACAAGGAGAAGCTCAAGACCCTCAGGGCCACAGTGAAAGGAATTTCAGAGACAGGATAGGCAGGTTCAGGGAATAAGGGGGGTCCATGGGAGAGGAATGAATATGACAAGGGGAAGGAGATAGCTTACTTTACATACTTTCACAGAAGATAGAGAAATGTCACAAGATATGGGGAGAGTAAAAGAGGCCCACCACATGGGCTTTGGACTTTTGTCATTCTTCTGAAGAGTATCAGGACCCCTTTGTCTGCTTTCCTCATTGAAAGGAAAATAAGACAAAGGAAGGAAAGAGCAAGCTCTCCCATTTGGGAACCCCACCCCAGGGAGAGTTTGTGGAAGTTTATTGTAAGCGTATACATTTTTATTTAAAATCTTTTAGTCTGAAGAATAAACTCTCGAACTTTGTGAGGCAAGAACTCATAAGGGGAGATTCTGCTCACCTCGAATCCCATATTACAATAGCAAACAAACTTATCTGATTAAAATTTCTTTCATTTGAGAGAGACACAGTTCATTAGGAAAGTAGATGTGTGTTAGAGACAAGAAAGGCAGTTTTAGGGAATGGGGGGGGGGGGGCCGTGTCCATGGGAGAGGAATGCATATGCGAAGGGTAGAAATACCTCCAAGTCACCAAATGCTTATCTTACTAGTACTTCCACAGAGGAAGAGAAATGTCTCTAGATACTGGGAAGAGGGAAATGCAACATTCCTCTATCCTCTGTGAAAGTAAGATAAAGGGGAGAGAAAGAGGAGAGCACCATATGGGTTTTGGACTTTAACCCTTTTACTAACAAGTCCTTGAGTTTATTCTTCACTCTTTTGCAGAATATTAGCTTCAAACTTTGTGAGACATGGAGTGCAGGGAGTAGATTCTCCCTGTGGGTTCTTGCCTCACTAACCTACTACAATAATCTGAAGAGAGTGCCTGCTGGCCTCCATCCTCACTCTCACTCTGCCTCTCAAGGGTATAAGCTCCTCCCAGGAGCTATGGGCCTGTCTGGAACCCCAGTTTTTGCACCTGCTGCCCAAGGGGCACTTCTACATTGCCTGGCTCTGGTGGCCAGTGGGACTTACAGACCTAAAACAAACTAAAGGCCAAGTGCAATCCTCTTCAGAGCTGTGTTTAATTGAGAAATGGGCCTGAGTGTGGGGCCTCTAGAGACCTTGGTGGGTGGGTGCTCTTCTTGCTGCCCCTCTGTCTAGTGCCCTGGATTTGGTCATAGGTACAAGTGATAGTGGGGAAGGGCACAGAATAGAGCATG